ACAAATTACTGGGCAAATTGCGACTTTTCACCTTTAATTTGCGCATTAACGTCTGTAAGTGACCTCAAATAGATTAATTTACCTCACGTCCTATTTCAACTATTTATGGATTGATATAAGTATTATAATTTTAGTTTGCCCATTCTGTGTCCTGAAATGCACAATATAATAGGTCGCTCCGAAATTAAGCCCTCTTGGTACAATATATATATATATATATATATATATTTATATTTATATATTGTGTGTGCGATAGACTTACCTCTACCTCGTGCACCCTGGGCAACGTATTCTCATACGACAAATAAGTCTATTGACCGGCAGTTGACTTCTGACTTCAAACTACAATGACCCAACTGTATGCCATATTCTACCACTTCACAGTATTCATCCTACCTTTTCTCTGCCTTTGTGCCTGTCTCTTTTGCAACTGTAAATCACTCTTCTGTTCCCCACCCCACGACCTTGTTACTTTGATGACCTCTCGACTTTTTCTCACTTTGATGTTCCTCCTCCTCTCACTGTTCCCCATCCCTCGACTTTCTGTTACTTGGATGTTCCGTCTACAAGCCCGAAGTCAGCTAAAGGGCTAATGATAACTATCAAAGCGCCTGCCGTTTGAAATAAATATTCATTTATATATGCATATATACTGGGTTAATCGAGGTAGAGTAATCGTTTGAAAATCATTATGCACTTGCAAAAGATGGCGCAATTTACAAACAAATTATATTATTTAAACCACTTTAACGTAACCATGAGCAAATGCACACTTGGAAAGTATGCACAGATGTTGAAAAATACCTAAATCATTTACCTTGATAAAAAATGTGTTGGAGTATCGGCAAATAGATTGACCGAATGGTGATGAAAAAAGGATGGAAGTGATGTTGCGAGCACAATCAATGCGGAAATCAGGAGTGGCCACAGTTGGTATGAGAAATTAATTTCGGGATAGAGGTAAGATGGGCTTTTAAAAAATTAAATAATTTTAGTGCCTATGTAAATCGAGCAAACCTAATAACCAAATTTAGAAATGAAATAGAGTTGGCAAAAATTTTTTTACCAAGTGAGCTTCGTCGAGTTAAGAAAGGTGAGTGAATTCCGTAGCCATAAATTTCATTTTGTATCAATCCGTTGTTCCATAGGCATGAAGCCAGAAATGGTACGAATGCAAATTATTTTAAATTGTCCACTTTGAAAGCACACTTTTCATCAAATAGCTTTTAAAATTATGCTGAGTTGTAGAAATTCGAGTTTAATGTTCAAATATATTTTTACGCAAACCAATGCGACTTCCTTTCCACCAACCGTTTTGAAAACCAATTTTCAAAAGAAGTTGTCTTTTGAAGGCGTCTAAAACTACATTTTGCCCATTGAAAACCACGCTGTAGATGTTATCTTCATTTCAAGAAATACTCCAAAGTTTACCACCGCTCTTTGATAAACGCAGCAATTAGGGTTTTGTATCTAAATGTAATAGATAAAATTGCAATATGAACATAAATGTTATGTTGCAAAAGGTAGTGTTGACCTGAAATTTACGAATTAGCTAATGAAATGAGCCATACATAAATTCGCTCTAATAATTAAAAAGGAGAAATTTGCACAGTATTTTTTACAGCACAATAAAATTAATTTACTTATATAAAACTATTTAAAATATAAAGTAGATATATTAATCGATTAGCTAAAAAGGATTCATATTTTACTAAAACTAGTTTTAGTATTTAATAAAAGGAAGCTTGAAAAGTTATTATAATTAAATCATATGAAATGAAGCATTCGACTGCAGCTTTTTATCACACGAAAGCCTTTGTTCCACAGAGGGTAAGTTCTTCTGTTAGTATTTTGCACCCTGGACGTTTACTAATATGGCAAAAAAGTCTATAAACCGACAGTTGACTTCTGACTTCAAACTACCATCACCTCACTGTATGTCATATTCCACAACTTCACAGTACTCACCTCACCTCTGTCCCTACCTTTGTGTCTGTCTGTCTCTTCTACATCTGTGAATCACTCTTTTGCTCCCCCTCTCGAATTTTTCTCACTTTGATGTTCCTCCCCCTGTGAAGCCCGAAGTCAGCTAAATGGCTAATGATAACTATTCAAAACGCCGGCTATTTGAAATAATAATAATAATATCAGTATTTTTGGTATGAATTCGCCCAAATCTCTTCATACCTCCCGCTAATAACTCACCACCAAATTTCGCCTTAAATAATTTAATTGTAAGCTTCCTTTAAAGCTAATATAAAGCAGTCTTAAATGCAATCGGGAAAAAAATTTACCTGCAAAAATTCCCAATGGTTTTTAGCTTTTCTGGGATATTTAACTCTGAATTCGTTTTCAGATGAAGTTCACTTGTACTGTAGTATCAGCTGATTACGCAGCCTAGATTTTATACCAAAAGGGCTATTCAAATAATCCCCCCCCCTCCTTTAATATCAATAAAATTACAACCACGAGTTGGATACATATATCAGTCAACCTGTTTAGCTACATATTTATTCATATGTATTTGGCTCGGTTAGAATATACCAATTTTGGAAACCTAGAAATTCCTTCTGTCAAAAAATAACAAATCAACTACATTCCACAAAGCTGAAAGCGTCAATAACTTTAGATAGTATCTCAATAATTGGCAATTATTTAAACAAACAAAATAAATTCAAATATGAGACACTCGTTTTAAGCGACTGGTCAAGACGGTTAATACATAGAAACTCTTCCTTGAGGTGAACAGATTTCCTAGTTTTATCTTAGATGATGGTACATTTTTCCAAATCCATTGTGCAAATTAGGAGCAATTTGGTGGTTTCCATATTACGCCATATTTCACTCTTCTGTTCCCCTTCTCGACTTTTCACGATAAACACATTCATCCCCTCTGTGAAGCCCGAAGTCAACAACTAAAAAGCTAATAATAACTATCAAAAGACTTGCCATTTGATATAAAAAAAATAAAATTACGCCTAAACGAAATTTATGGCATTTCACGACCTCTATTCCAATCGCATATCGAGTGGTTGCGATATTGTTTGGAAAATAACATGTTTTGAACTGAACCAATCGATTAATAGTCCAATATTATCACCATAGAATACTTGTATTGCCTTCGGCAGTTGTGTAGACAAATTACTTATAGATAGCCAAACCAACCTACTCACCGAATTCAAAGTGAATGACAGCTGGTACTTGAGCACTTTCTTTTTCCAAAAAAAGTGGTACAGATAAAATCTTTATGTACATCCATCCTCAATGGAGCAATAGTGGAGAGAAGTGTTTTGAAGTGAAGAGGAAAAAGAAGGTGAGATCACAATCACTTTCTTCCATCGTCAAAATCAGAGGACCGTCTCCGAGTTTTGCGATGGGATGAATTTTTCACAAGAATAGACTTGGGGGCCATTTGACTGGAAGAGCTAGGTGAGGGTACTGCCTTTCTTTCTATGGAATGATGTGAATGATTGGACGTATACTTTCGAGGATGCTTCCGCGAACCCTCCCTAGATCTTTGAAGACTTCGGGATAAAACAGCATTGTTTGCTCCTGCACAATCCATGGATGTAAGAACAAGTGGTTCACCAAGAATGGTTCGAGTATTAGAGGGAATCCGATTATGAAGATGGGTATTATTTTTATGAGGGATAAGAGAAAGACTACTTCTGTCGGTTAGATCATTAGAAAAGAGGGAGGAATGGGCCACGTTGACTCCCCCTTCAGCCTCGTTTGAAGATAAAGAGGAATCTCGATAATTTTGCATCGATTTGTATTGTCCTCGATTGGCAGGTAGAGACATGCTTCCGTGCTGGGAACTTGTCTTCATGTTTATCATAGAATCTGAGGATCCAAAATCACTGCCTTCTGCAACTGGACTGTCAGAAAAAGCGGAAGAATATTCCTCAAATTCCAGTCCCGCAGGAGAAGTGACTTCTGAGGATGACGACTCACAGCTACTACAATATGGAACATCCATAGTAATACTTTGCGTTTTTCTATGTTTAGAAGCAAACTGATTGTGCTGATCAAAGCACATAGAGCTGCTTCTCCTCTTTAGCAACAAAGAAGGAGCAAATTGTCCATGAATCGGACAGGTTGTGAACGATTTAGCACTAATCCTTGATGGTAAAGTTCTATACCGACACTGTGTAGAGCTGCTGCTATGATGCGATCCTAATGACTTCTTTCGTCCTATACTTGTATTCCGCGAATGGTAGCTTGATCGATCTGATTGATGTCTACTGGAGCGGAGTGAGGTAGAGGATTTCGACTTAGTGGTATGTCGGGGTGTCTGGGTGAAGGAGGAGGCCATCTTTTTGAGATTATTTCTAGAGGCAATACTAGAGGGACTACCATGAATTGGACAAGTCCCGAGCACTGTCGTTCGCATCACGGGTTTCGATAGCTGAGGCTGTTCTTTTGGGTGATCAGAAAATTTTGCATTTACTCCGTGAATAGGACAGGGAGCAGAAATCAGAATAGGATTGCTTGAAGGTGGCATAGTAGAGTTATTTGTAGATCCAGTAATCTGGGCAAGCAATCGACTGGGAAGAGATACACCGCCGTAGCTTCCTGGGGGAGGCAAATGGCACAAATCCGAACCATTAGCTGTGATTGAGGTATTCGAAGGGCTTGAAAAATCTGTTGTGATAAGTACAGCGGAATTTGCTGAAGTAGGCTGCTTCAAACCAGTTGCTGGAGCAGGCTGAGTCAGAACTGCTGTTGTAGTCGTAGCAGTGGTCAGGGATATTAATTTTGGAGATGAAATATCTGAGTCAACACTCGGAATCTTATCACAAGACAATGTGTTTTTTATTGGTACCGGTTTATTTGTGAAAATATTATTTGAGTTAAGGTTATTTTGTCCTTGGGCCGCATTTTTTAGGGGAACAGGAGAATCGGGATGACTATTGGCGACTCGAGTTCCGATTAACTCTCTTGCGTCTTCACCTAACCCCACGCCATAGATGCTATTCTTCTGAAATCGATTTCTGCAGCTTGTAAATACTTGTGGTTTTTCCGCTCCACGTTTTCCCCAGCAAAAGAAGACGACAAGAGCAACCACCGCAAGGAGGATAAATACTACCGCAACGCCAATGCCAGCATAAACCAGATTCTGCCGTTGGGCATCACCAGGTACCTCTGGATTAGGTAATTTTACGGTGACATTTATTGAAGCTTTCTGAGAGGCACTTCCATTATCCAAACCACATTCCCAAATCCCTTTATCTTCACGTCGGACATTCATGATAGTCAAGTTAGCGACAAAATCAAGTGAGTTTGATTGAGATACGAAGTAATTAGGGGATGGGATGACCAATGGAACATTGTCCTTGAACCACTGAACCGTTTTCATGCTTTCAAAATATCCCTGGCATGTGAGAGAAAGAGTAGTTCCAAGAGCAACCACGATGTGCTTCTCCTTAGAATCAATCCACTGTTTACAAACAAATTCTGCAGGTTCAATTGCATTTCTTCCAGAAGGAGCAAAAATTTGACGTCGTTTAACAACGTACGGTGATTTACAAGTTGGTGTAACAATATCTGTTGCACCAAACTTCGTCTTCTTGTCGAAGGAAAGCGTCATTGATGGAAGAGTGTCAGAAAGGTACCATTCTCTGAGCCACCGTAGGCTACAGTCACAGTGCCACGGATTTCCTCCCAGTTGCAACTCTCTCAGCTTCTCCATTCGATGAAATATCGATCGGAATTCGCTTGATAGAGTCTCCAGACGGCAGAAAGACATATCCAGAACCTGGAGATTTAGTAAACCAGTAAATGCAGCGGCTTCCAATTTCAAGGGCAATTCGCCTTTGGTGTAACTAATTCTAAGCTCCAGTAGAGATTTTCCTAATGCGATTGGAAATAAATTTGGAGGAATTTGACCTAGTGGGTTCTCCGAAAGGTCGAGAACTTCAAGTGTTGGAAGATGGTAAAAAGATACGGGAAGAATTCCATTTTCGTCAAGACGAATGGAATTATTCCGTAGACTTAAAATCCTCAATCTATTTAATCCTTCAAATACATTTGCCTCCACCTGCTCCAGCTCACAAGAATCTAAGTATAATTCCTCAAGGTAGACTAGCTTCCTCAATTCCCCATCGTCTAACCGTCTAATGGACTGCTGTGTTATTCGTAGACTTATTAAAGTTTCCGGTAGATCCGAGGGTATTTTGGTAAGAAGTGACGTGTCACTATCACAAACAGCTTTCTTCCACAACAAATCAGGTTGAATAGCTATTACGGTACAACCACGGACAGCATTAGCTGTCCTAGCCAATAAAAGGAAAAAGAGAGGGGAAAGAACAAGGGCTTCGATCTTCATCTCATTGTACATCCACGTTTATATCCAATATTAAGTTACATACCTTGCGAAAGACGTGTCTGTAAAAGGCGTGTGTTCTATTCAATCCCTTCTGTCTTTAGCACACCCGACTGGGGACCACAAAGGAGGGAGTCACGGTGGGGAAGAGGAGAGGAAAGGAATAAAGCCGCGAACTACCCATTAATTACGCTCCGGAACGCGCATATGCGTGCACACGAATTTGCAACTTAAGCTGAGCGAAGAGATTCAGGCAGCCAATGCGCATCATAGCCACTGCCAGTCACGGTGCATGCGTGCACTCTTAACGCACATAGCTGCATAGCCGCACACGCGTGCCAAATGTGTGAATGTCTGCTCAACTAAGTGGCACAGACAGCTTTTGAATGTGGGACAGACAGGCCGGTGGGGATAAGGTGAATCGTTGTATTGCCGATTTCAAGGGTTTGCCCAACCCTAGCTCACTAAATGCGATAACGCCGTCCGTGCGCGTTCTACTAGCCTGTGTACGCAATCGCGCGCCGACACGAGTTCCTTTACAACGGACTAGCTAATGTAACATTGATTTCGACTGTTCTGTTCAACTAAAATGAGTCTAGTTCCTATTTTGAATTTGAAGTTTCTTAATTCCTAAATAGATCCTAGCAAGTAAATTGTATTGCCGTCAGCCGTTTGTGAGGTAAGTGTAAAGTGCCAATGAATAGTGCATTTATCTTGCCATCGGGATTCCTTTTCTACAAATTGAAAGATATTTGAATGTGCCCTCTTCTGATGGAATGCAAATGGTCAATTTATTTAGAAAAGCACCAAGTTGGATGCACGACCACCTTTTGCCAGCAAACTGCTCTACGTTTAGAGCCTGAAATCGGAGTTTAGTGAAATAAAAGTGCTGATTTGTGTTCTAGACTCTAAAAGAGCAGAACGCTTTTATGCTTGTCAAAGCAGTACCCTTTGCAGTTCCAACCATAAAGAAATTCCTTTTGTCAAGACTGATGGCTACAAGTACTACTTTTACTTCTCCTCTCAACAATTAGTAATAATGCCAAGAAAAGATGAATGATATTTTCAATTTCTATTTCGAAACCAAAAAAGGAAGTTTTAGCTTCCTATTATTGAAGCATTATGTATTCCATTGGTAAGACAATCGTCTCTTCCACTTGAACAAGGACCAATGCATTACAGGAGCTTTTCGAGAATTTTTGCCAAAATATTATAACCTCCCATAAGAAATATTTAAAAATCAACTACAAAGTGTAATGATCTATAGAACTGACTTCACTCTAACATTATATTTATTTGGCATATATGGTTGTAATATCGATTTGCATCCACAGCTAAGGTGACACAAACATTAGTTCCCGTCGATATCCCCGCTAGCATAACATTTACCATGCTCATCAGGTGAATCAAAGGTCATACGGTCGATATTAGTTGGAGCAATTCAAGAAACACATTGGTCAAATCTAGCCAAATCTAGAGTACTGATAACCGACTTACTCACCTGAGGAGTTCCATTCTACACATGATTGAAACTGAGTTGACCAAAGGCCCAAAATATTCAAAAGAAGCTTAAATCTAACTTCCTTTTCCATTTGGCCGATCTGTGCTTAAGCCAAAGTATTTGTAGCGGATTGCTACCTTAGTAAAGCCTGACTGACTCAGAAATCTCTATGGCAGATCCTCCTACATCTAGCTAGACTCCCAGAACCGGCTAAGCTATAGCCCAGATATAAAGGAAACAGACGTGTAGCACGGAGCACGTTTATTCAGTACGGGTATTGTGGATAAAGTGTACACGCAGGGAGCTACTCATGATCAGGATGGGGGATTAGGTTAAACAGAGGTTAATGATTGGTCACTGTTTGTACGGTCGCTGCACACAGAGTTGTACGGCCGCACCTCCCAATCCTGGCGAGCAGACATGCAGGCATACGATGACGCACACAGCGAAACGTGTCCCGCACATTCACCGATTGGATCGCAAATATCTCACAAATTTAAAAATATCCATCTCTGTTTGTGTGCAGCAATCAAACATTAAAGTGGGAGAGGTTGGAATAAATTTGGAACGGGTTGTTTTGATGGAAATTTTAAGTGCAAGAGGCGAGTGCTATTTTGAATTCAATATTTGAAGGAAAACTGCGAAAGACACGAATATTTTATGGAAGGAATTAGTCAAATATTCGATTAGTTTAAGAATGAAATGAATGTTTTGTAGAACCAATAAATGTTTAACAAAAATGAAATTAAGATATAATTATATAAGCAATTAATTGATTGATTGACAAGTGAGTTTTATTCTTGAACTTTAATTTGATAATCCAGAATTCAAACCTGAATACGAAATACGGCGTATTCATGAGGGGTGTGATTTGAAAAAAAATAAAGTGAATAAATTGCAAATTGTGATTTGCACAAGGTCTTTCTATGCAATTGCTATTGAAAAGTCTCCCTGTAGTTAGAAATGTGGAACTATAATTACGTCACCTATGAAAATATTGCCTACCTTATCCAAGCAATTTTCCATCTTTCAATTCGATAATGCCTATATAACCCTAACGCGTCCTAAAAAATATGACAATTGAAGCACGTATTTAACTGGACATCCATCAACATATTTAAACATTTTACTTGAGTTAATTGAATCGCATTTGAATTCCTTTGTGACTTACTTCTCCTTCAAATAATCCTACTGCTGATGGCACATCCGTTATCACTACTCTCATTATTCCAGGCGAACAATTTTTTTGTAGTATAGTGTAAAAGAAATGTATTATTCGGGTTTCTACCTAATTAGTGAATTCTCCTAAATTTCCTATAAGATATAGTGAATACCATAACCTGACAATTGTGTGCTACCTAGCTTTTCAATTGCTGCTAATACTCTGGAGGTTTAAATAGTAATAATTTCGCCAGCATGAAGCATATGATGCAAGTGTCAAGAGGAAGATGTTGGGGGAATTGACAAACGATTGATCTTGAGTGTGCTAGTGTGAGTAACCTCACCTTAATAATCGTATCCATCGTTCGAGTGGATTGATCAAGAACGAAAATAACGCAACGGGTCAACGACCTAATGAGCTCTCGCATGTTCATTCGCCATGAACATTTAGGCATCAGATAAATCCTAGAAAGCTCATCGATGCCGGTTTCAAGAAAAAATATGTTTTATAAGATGTAGGATTCATTTCTTTCTTGTATCCATCCCCATCTCATGTCTTGTTGGTCGCTTTTAGTGCATCCCACATTCCAATGAACTTCTAGGATAAGAGTTGCTAGCCTTTTTGGCTGGATTATGGGAATTATTAACAATTAACAGAACTAGACTAAAACGCATTAGTTCAAGTACGAATAAAAATTGTGTTTAACTCACGAATAAATTGCATTTTGCAATGATGGAAATAGAAATCAATGTAGAAGCATAAAAATTATGTACTATGCTATAAAAACTACGAAACAAAAGACCTTCCTATTTAAGGTGGTTAGTCCAAATAAGGAGTAAAGTTTATTCAGCTATGGGAAAATATAAAAATGCTGTTGTCAATATTTTCTCAAAAACAAATTAGATAGATACACCAGTCCACTTTCATTTGGTCGTTGATTTGCAAATTTTAATGCGAGTCTGGAAAGGAATGCGATTTAGAAATATTTGATGAAACTCTGTTTCTGCTATATTTCGTGCATATTTTAGCTTACTACCCAAAACTTAATATTACTTAACATGAAAATTACATATCATTTAATAAATGTACAATAATACACCTTTCTGCAATTCTGTAAGCACACTTCAAGTATGAATGCTTTTAATTCAGCATATTTTTCTTAGTTTCTGTAGAATTTATTTTAAATTTATTTTTCTGAATAATTAAAGTCACTCTTGGTGTTATTTGCGAGTTGGCTGCTAAGCAAAGTTAGCTACGTCTCTCTAAGCTGTAAAGACAAGAGCAATGACTTCCTTTCCTCTACTGATTTTAACCCCGAATACATTAGAGCTGGAATGTTTTGTGGCTGTGGCATATGGTTCAGATTTGCAGTTTGCTGGAAGCACCAACCGCAAACTGCGTTATTTTAAAACTTTAACGGGAGAGGAGCATAATATCTAACTGTTTCTAGCCCTGAAAACAATGCCCATTAATATACCAACCAAATAAGACCAAGTATATTCTAATTGAATTTAATCCCCCTCCCCTTAAATTAACAGAATAAAAATGGCTTTATGCAAGTGAGATGATCAAACAAAGTCTCAGTACTGATTGGAGACAACTCGAGATGTCAGGACCAACCGGTGGACAGATTTCACCTCCTTTTTTCGTCGATGAAAAATTTACAATAAGGACTGGGGTATAGGTCATTATGTGTGCAATAAATAGAGAGCTTGAGTTGACATATGAGTCTGTGGGTAAAAGCACCACCTTTGTAAATTGTGCTGTAGTGAGTAAAAATGGTCAGTAAGTTTGCCCAAATTGAACCAATCGTCAGTGTCTTCGCATTTTACCAAAATCATGCCTTATCCTTAACAGCATTGACGATGAAGAACTAAAAGGTTTGACTAAACCTAACAATATTTATTGTAAGTAAGTATGAGTTAATTAAGTTAATCAACTTATTGACTATTTCACTTGCCTAATATACAACCCTTTAGCACCGTGGTTCCGAACATTGGGAACTACGTATAAATTCAGGACCACGCTTGGTCGGGTTTATGAAGGAGAAGCCGATCATACTCAAAACTCCTAGATATATTAGGATGCAATGGGAGACCTAATATAACACATTATATCTGATGGAAAACGTTTTGACTTTCAAACAGATGTGAAACTAGTATCACTCAAACAAATGCTACAACTATAATTTTTAAATCTCAATTATTGTTATTGCATGAATTTCTTTTTTTCCAGAGGGAAGAAATGAATATGTATTAACGGTATATTAGGTTCCAATAAGATATCACATTTCCGTGTAGTTTATTAGGCCATATATCTCACATCGGGGAAAGCCTTTTTCTAAAAAATGGAAATACGATCAAAGAAAGTTATTATATATCGCAAAGCTAAATATACCTAATCTACTTCCGAACAGACAACAAATAGTTATATAAATAAATTCCAAAAGGCACTTTCAACAGAAAACACCCATGTAATGTTACCTTGCAAATGATTCTTTTTAAATAGATTTGATTCCATGCTTGCTATACGTGCTGATTAATGGAATAGCCAACAGTGCTATTTATTTTCCTTTATTCTTAAACAAAGCGAAGTTATGATTCATTTATCGTTTTTTCCGAATAATTACTTTTCGCTATAGTACCAACTAGGATTCATACTT